GTTTTCGCCACCGAGGTTTACAAACAAATAAAACGAGTGAATTTCCTATCCCGTATTAAGACCAGGTGGCGGACTATAGTCAAAATTCTCCGTTAAAAGAACCCGTGTTCGCAGTGTGACATATAGTGACGATGACGACTACCATGGGCGAAAAGGGAACTAACGTAACCTTTGAAGGAAATCGAATGAGCTGTCACCATATTACTAGAAACAATGCATACACTAGTGACGTACAGATAAATTGTTGGGTCTGTACAAATTGCAAGAAGTTGAAAAAAGTATCTTGAGATTATGTCTTTACTACCTCTCCAAATTTTGTATAACATATTTTTGTATGTGCGAGCCTTTTCACAAATATTTTTTTTTTATACAGTTTACACACACATTTATATAGTTATAGTTTATACACATTTATCTAAATATATCTTTAAGATTTTAGCTCTGCTACTTAATAATCATTATCTATTTTTTTTTGAAATAATAAATCAAATAATAAATTAAATCATCTAATTTATTTTTCAATTCAATTCTCCAATTTCCATTGCCTATCCGGTCGCTACCTTTGTCTGCAAACTTGCTTCTCATTTTAGTCCGGAATGAATTTTACACTTGTGCCGGTGGCGAAATACTGCTTGTATAATTACTAATCACATAAAAATATAACACACGATGATCATTGTTTTAAAATCTACCAACAAATATCAAAATGTCTGGCCCGAAGATATTTTAATTGCCATCTCCATTCCTTTACAAAGGGCATATGCCTAAATCACGAAATATTTGGAAGTCACTATTGTCTATTATTGGATGAATGCTATCAACTAGAGGTGGGCGTTTAAGCGAAAAGCACTTAAAAAAGTTTGCTTTCTAAAATAAGCAATTAAGCACGCCTTATATTTTAAGCGTAGGCGTTGGTCAGTTCCATACTCAACAATTTCATTTTTTACAACGTGCCTAAGCTTCAAGTCCCACCATTTATGTTGACTAAACAAATTAATTCGTCAATGTGAATAATAATTTTATAAATAAAAATAAAACTCGTGTTTTACAGACAAACTTAAATAATTTAAAACCTTAAACGTTTTTCTAAACGATTTTGTAAAAAAGCGTCTAAAAAAGCACGCTTTTTTAAAAAAACTACGACGTTTAAACGTTTAAAAAAATAAGCAGTTTTTCCCATCTCTACTATCAACCATGCCGCGATACTCTAGAATAGTGCATATGCAGTCGCAATAATTCACGTAAATATCTAATTACCGTACTTTGGTTGTAAAATTTTCTTATTCCCCGGGGATGTGAAAATTTGTGAATTACATTTTTCAAGAAATTGTGTAGTCCATTATGAGTGCTTAAGAGCTATGAGGCCTTTATGTCTTACGATATACAAGTATTTGCCATCACTTCCAGCTTTTGAAATATTTTAACCAAAATTCGTGGTCTAAGTTTTAAATATTAGATAGATATTTCGTGTCAGTATAAACAATATCCAAATATATTATGACACAAACCAGACTTCTAGATAATTAGACCTTGTAATCAAACCAATTAGGTAACAATATTTTTTCAATACAAATTTTAGAAAAAAAGAGACTTGCGGCACATCAGCGGTGGTAACGTTTAAAAATAATTCGATTTTATATCAGCGATCGAAAGAGAAGGCAAAAGAGAGATATGAGTAAGTTTGCGTCGATGCCACCGATGCAATCGCGCATTTTACAAACGCGTGTTTGTGTCGCTGCTAAAAGTCGTCGTCTGTAATCGCTCTTATTAGTACTATTACCTACTTAATAATAATGTTTTTTATTACTTCAGTTTTAAATCGTAGTCGTAAATTGTTGCGTCTCAAAGTATCTAAGCGCTAAATAATATATAAGCGCTTACAGCGATAACATCTTGAATCCTAATAATAAAATGTCTTAGGTATAAAGTAGAGAAAGTCCGCAACACATGATCACTGTCGTGGGCATGTTTAAACAATGTTCCGAAATAATACATCAAATACAAGGTGAACTCGTGTCTCTCGGTGTTTAGCAGTTTGGTACATAAATACGCACAAGTATGCATGCAATCGAGAAAATTTCTTATTTTACCTATCGCATTCTATTTAAAAACAGTCTTTTAGTGCTCCACAGGTAAACTAGGTACCCTTATTGTTTCTTGCATCTATATGTTACAGACTTTTTTATAGACTCATTTATGTTTTGTGTGAATACATAATGTTTTTGACATCCATTCTTCGTATACACAGGTTTTAATAGTAGACCTCCTTGTGAAAAAGTACAACTTATGTCTCACGGTGACGGGCGCAGTGACAATGCCCCTCAGAACTTTGCGATTTAAAGCTCTGAGTGAGTTGACACTACAACTGCTATGGACAGGCGAGTCGCTTACCACCAGTCACTCACTATCATCAAAAATAACAAAAGAAAATTACATTTACCCTTATTGGGGAGTTTCAAGATGGTGTATTTTCCCTTGAATTGATTTTGTGTGCGATAATATACAATTCTCTTAAAATAATAATTTCTTGCGAAAAAAACCTATCAGAAAATTAAATGATTCAAGGAACAATAAAATCTTAGGTCTGACAGTATGGCTAATTTATTACACGACTTAGCCTGTCCCGAAGGACGAAAATTTTACTACTACTACAATATTCAATGCAGTCTATGAGAGGGGTATCGTTGGATAAATTGTTCAAAATGTAATGAGAATCATAGACTCATTATTCTCCAGATTATTCGCTTAAAATTAAAAAAAGAATCGTAAAAAATTAGTTTCTAAATTTAAACGCAATAAATATTTTGGATGTATACACTAAATTGAAAAACTAGAGCAGGAAACAAATAGACTTTATGAAAGCAATCAATAATAGGGAACATTAAAAATTCTTAACTTGCGAAGTTATTAGTCATCACAATTACATCATTATTAGTAAAATCTATTCAAATTGATTATCAATTGTCTTTATAATTAGTTAATTGTTATTGCGTATTTAGGTAAATGAGGAATCTGTAGCTGTATTATGTCATTAATATTTCCACCTAAACGTTTGTTGTTTTCTATTGTTTGCATAATGTTTGTAACTGACTAATTTCTTGAAGACATAGGTTGAGATTTCTAGAACAAAGTTTGACTTCGACTCGGCAAAGATGGCGAACTTAGCAAGTTTTCCGTATTTACAAACCAACCAATTAAACATCGTGCATGAAGTACTGCTGCCGCCTTTGGGATGGCTCTGCTACATACCAATTGGCCACCTTGGATTCAATTGACAATTGTGCCAAGAGGCTTGTACATAGGGCGCACTGTAAGTTTCCGGAACTGGCCACTTACATAAACAATATTTAAAAAGTAATTACAACATTTGAAAATGGAACTCTTTGGTTGTAGTATACAGTTTGTTTCATCTGACTGTTACTTGCTTTTACATTGTGGCGTCATTTTAGAAATTTGTTGTCTACATCACCAAGGATTGAACTCGTGAAAATTTTCGTAGTATGATTACGACTACGACTAAGTGGAATTTAACAGCTCAGCGGAGCTTCACTCAAGCACCATGAAAGACGACTATTTATAGCTGGTTTGCAGAATTCAAACGCGGTCGTGTGAATCTCAGCGACGATTTCGTGATGGTCGTCCGTCTACTGTTGTGAACAACAAAAACATCGATACTGTGCGCCGTATGATCAAAACAAACAGGCATCTGACATACCATGAGATCCGGGCATGTTTAGGCATAGGCATGAGTCGAATATAATCAATACTACACAAACATTTGGGTGTGAAAAAGCTGTGCTCTCGGTGGATCCCATACAATTTGACTGAGGCTCAAAAAACGGATCGCGTTACTTGGTGCAATGCCATGCTTACCATATTCAACGAAGGGGCGTCAAATTTGGTGTGAGACTTTGGTGTCAACGATTTTGATCACCTGAAGAGGCTGTCGAAGAGTATGAAAAATATGTTTCAGAGATTGTCACGGATGAGTGGCATAAATGTTTTCAAAATTGGTTCATTCGTATGAAAAAGTGCATTAACGCTAACGGAGAATATTTTAAGGAATAATAAATTAATTTCTGACCATTTATAATATTTTTTCTTTTGCCTTATTCATTCCGGAAACTTCTAGTGCGCCCAACGTAGGTGAGTCGGAATTAGTGTAGGAGAGCTGCAGAGCCTTGAACACTACCGTAAACTTGCCCGTTTATCGGTATTTTACTGGATATATCACGGAGAGTGTGCAATGGAATTACACGATTTAATTCCGCCTTCCTCTTTCCACCACCGGGGGCTAGGCGTAGGCTTGGGTACCACCCCTATATTGTGGATATTCCAAAGATTCGCACGAAGCGTTACGCTTCTACATTTATATGGGGAACGGCTATGGAGTGGAATTCTCTGCCTGCAGACTTGTTCTTTGAACGTTATAACTTGGGCCTTTTCAAGGCGAGAATCAATAGGCATTAATAAGGTGATCATGCTCCATTGTCGACCTCATCATCACTTTCCATCAGGTGAGATGGAGGTCAAATGCGCACTTGCATCTTTAAAAAAAAATTGAGTTTACTTCGCAATTTCTTGCTCGAAATTACGCGAAGTTCGTTTTGTAAATACGAAAAACTTGTTTAGCTGTTATTAAATCTGAGTTTAAGTTACTTTATTGTCTTATTTGGATGCGTTTGCAAACTATTTAGGATTTACAATAACAAATATGCTTGAATTAAAAAAAAATATATGTTACGAAAATTGCTTAAAAGTTATTTAAATATTGCCCAAACAAATTATAAGAAAATTTTAAATGATAAAATTTTAATTTTAATTATAAAAAATTATAAGCTCTTAGGTTTTCGCGATTGTTACTCATAGGAAATGAAACTATTACAGAAACTGTCGACCTATCCTGCAATGTTTCGTCTCAAAAATGCGCATGCCCTCGCGCGCTGTTGAAAGATCTATCTGTAATAGTGCGGGGCGCTATTGCTGACTTTGAGACTAACGCTCTGCTCGACGATGGCAGCACGGCGGCTCTCATCGACGAGGACGTCGCAAAATGAATTGGTGCAGAGGAGGTGTCCAGAGAGCCCATATGCTTAGATGGTGTGGTTGGCATGTTCAAGGTAATGACGGTTGGCTATACAAAATTTTTTATTCGCGGTCGCGACATGGCTGATGAATATACTATAGAAAATGCGCGTTCGGTATACGGACTCTCTTTACGGTCGCAATCGATTTCCAAACGCGATCTAGGTAGATTTAATCACTTAGCACACCTTGTCGACGACCGACATTTGGAAGAGGCCACCCACACTATTCTCATAGGTGCGGGAGACTGGCATCTCTCTATAAGCGGAGAAACCCGCTCAGGAAGGCCATCGGAGCCTGTCGCTACGCGTACTCGTCTTGGATAGACATTACACGGATTCGCTTCCAGTAGAACAAAAGCGGTGGAATTTGTTAACCATCTTCACGAATTAGAGTATGACTCCATTGAAGCACTTATGCGCGAACAGTACAGGCTGGACGCACTTAGGTCTATACCTAACGAATTTAGGGCAAATCCCAGCGCCGAAATTATATTACCCAACGATGTCAACGCGTTAGGTATAAAGTGGAATCCTTTACACGATACGTTAGGGTTTCGTACGGGTGGCGTCGACAATTCGTTCGATAAACTTACAAAACGAATCGTTTTGTCTCGTGTTATGAAGGTTTACAATCGACTTGACTTAATTACTCCCGCCGTAATTCAAGGTCGCATCTTTATTCAAAACATATGGCGTAGTGGCCTGGGCTGGGACGACGAACTACGCCGCACTATGCCAACGCATGGCAACATAGGGTGGAAGAGATTATTTCACTCAGTAATTTACGAATCCCTCGTTGGTACATTCAGTTACATCTGCAGCTCACGGACATGCAGTTGCACGTGTTTGCAGATTCTAGTGAATTAGCATACGCCTATGTTGCATATTGGCGTATAGTATTTTGTACTGGACTTATTAAGCTTTGCTTTATCGGGAGTAAAGCTCGTGTAACCTCATTAAAGCCGTGTACCATTCCCCGTCTCGAACTGCAGGTTGCACTCATAGCCGCACGAATCGCAAAAACTGTCACGGACAGTCACCGATTGAAACCATCATCAACAGTTTTTTAGTCGGATTCTGCGGTACAAATCGTTCGTAGCTCATAGAGTAGGAGAAATCCTCGAGTTATCCGATTGTCTTGATTAGCGCTGGATACCTGGCAGCTTAAACATAGCTGATGACGCTACGCGACATCAGCTCTGCTCGCTGGTTTGCGGGTCCCTCCTTTCTCCTGGCTCCACCGAAAGAATGGCTAGTCGAGGTGGAACGCGTTGAAAAACCTCTACCGGACTTGAAGGAAACGGTAGATGTCCTTTCAGATGAGGTCCTCCTTCTACAGTCTCTATTACCGGACCCGAATCGTTTTAGTACATGGTCACGTCTACTAAGGGTCACAGCTCGCGTTGTTTTAACAGCGAGAATTTTTAGATCGTTTCTTGGCTCGCACTTAACTCCAAATTCAAAATTATTTTGTATGCAAAATGATTGTACGCGTTCTTCTGCCATGGACTTCTCACTGGCAGAGTCGTTACTTCTTTTGAAGTCGCAGACTGACAGCTTTGGAGTCGAAATAGCCCACATTCATGAGTCCCCATTCCAAAATAAGCCGGCTCTCATCATTTTTACCTAGGCTTCAGGATGGTCTCCTGGTTTTTGGATTCCAGAATTAAGGCACTGCCCAGTTAAGACGAATACACAAAGACCCGTATACTCCTCGATGATCGCCATCGCATCGTGCCCCTATTAATCGCCAATCTCCATAACAAGGCTGGTCGTGGCTTTCACGAATATGTACTCAACGATTTAAGAGAGCGGTTCTGGGTGCTACGAGGTCGGAGAGCTGTCAGAGCCGTGGCGGCAGAATGTTTTGAATGCATTACGCCGTAAAAGCTCCCCACGGTGTCCACCATTTGGCGACCTTCCTCCGGAGAGACTTCTTCATCATGCATGACTATTTATCAACGTCTGCCTTGATAACTTCGGACTATTTTTGTATCGATCGACTGACGCCGTGAAAAGAGTTGGGTAGCTGTTTTCTCTTGTTTAGTCACTCACGCCCTTCATCTAGAAATAGTAACCACTCTATCAACTGACTCTGTCATAATATATACATGTCATACAATAAGACTCATTGCGAGACGAGGCTGCCCTATAGTAAAATTCTATCTGATAACGATACAGTGTCACGAGACGAGGATTAATTGCACCTTCTGGACTACTCTGCCTTCAACAAAACACAATGATGTTCGTACTCTCGGCCGCCCCATTCATGGCTGGCGAATTGGACGACAGCGATCTGAAGCCAAGGTCATTATGGAAACAACCTACTCTCACCAGGATACCGTCCAGCCCATCTGCGAAAAACACTCCATCGCTGTCAGTAGCACTTGCACTTGCCGACAACACCTACCAGTCATTTGCCACTAATTAACCGTGTTCTCCACCAGGGCCCGGGATGTTGGCAACTGGCTGGTGCAGTGGCTCGCTGACAGCGACGAATAATTTAAACCTTTGTCAGTCGTTGTCAGCGCGCCGCCAGAACTCTACATTTTTTACCAAATTGTGAATTATATTTAAATATACTATTTAGCACTTACCTGATGTTATAATTGGCCGCTGGTTCGTTAACACAAACAAACCAACGTTTTGGGCCCTTTACAGGTCCCATGGTCAGTGATCACCCGTGTCAGTCAACCGTGTATACGAAGCGCATCACTGCCGCTTAAATAATTTGTGACATTGTGAAGAAGTGAACATGACTATCGAGAACTGCCAGTTTAATTTTTAACCGACTTCAAAAAAAAGGAGGTTCTCAATTCGACTGTATGTGTTTTTTTTTGTATGTGTGTTACGCGATAACGGCATGTGGGAACCGATTTTGATGATTCATTTTTTATTGGAAAGAGGGTAGGTACCTCAGATGTGGTCGCATTTAAATTTGAAGAAAATATTCCACCTCTAAGGGTGGCAAGTGGTGGTGGTTTTTTTAGTACTCTGTACTGTTTTGTTATAATTCTCGTGTTAATGTTACGTTAATCACTATTTTCATAAAAAAAATTTGTTCTTAATTTAAATTAAATTTTCATAAATTAATGTACTGTGACGCTAGTGCAAGAAAGTTGATTGCTGGTTTGTTCTTGTTTACAAGTATTTAAATACACATAATAATAAATACAGTAGAAGTGGATACTTAGCGCAGTACGCGTGCCAACTTTGGGCGTAGTTCCGCCTACTTGAGCTCAGTCCGCCATTTTCGCTTTGTACGTTATGGTTGTGTCAATTCTTTCGTGCAAATTATCTGAAATTGTAGAAAAATGCCTTATTGTGCTGTTTTGGAGTGCAAAAATTATAGCACCAAAAATATAACCCGTGGTGGTATTTCATATCATCGGTAAGTCTTATTTTAGTAAATTTTCAATTTTATGTTTAATGTAGAATTGATTTTTTTATTTAAATAGGTAAAGCGACGTCTTCCCAAAAAGCATTGTGAGCTCCACCCATCCGAAAAACAGGACCATTATACCAGACGTTATTAGTGGAACAAGATTAAGGCTCAACTCACACTGGTGCGGAGTCGACGCGTCGCGACGCGTCATGTTTCTCGCCTATAGCATATATACAAATATGAGTTATGCAAATACGAAATCGCTTCGCCGCCGTCGCCTCTTTTGTAGTTGAAAAATAGGATGCGAAGCGACGTTTCGACTCTGCGCTAGTGTGAGTTGAGCCTTAGATAAATCTTTGTGAGTATACTTTTTGCTTATCTTAAAGAAGAAATTACCTTTTTTTACCAAGTGAGGGGATCTTATACCAGACGTTATTAATGGTACAAGACTATGATAAATGTTTGTGAGTTCGTTTTCTGCTTATTTAAAGAAGAAATGATCTGGTGTTACCAAGTGACGGGATGAACGAGTCGTGAGACTGGTGGTAAGCGATACGCGTATCCAGAAATTTCGTAAAAGTCTAAGGGGCTTTGCCACAGCGCCAGTCATCCTGACCACATAAGTAACGCTTTAATGCTCACATTACTGCCTGGCGGCAGACATAGGTAAGGTGGCAGTACTTCCCTGGACGAACTCTTTTACAAGGAGCTCTACTGCGAGTAAAAAGACATAAGACTTGACTTTAATCCATTTGATAATTTATAATAAGCATTAACACATTTTTAATGATATATGAATTCCGAGCGGAACGGATTTCAAAGCAATCTATCTCACCCACTCACCCGCACTCGTTCCACGCCGATTGAGATAGAAACAATATTATCAAATTACAAACACCGGTACACCCACGGTGCGTAAAAACTTATTAGAACACCTAATAGAGAGAACAAACGCAATGTTTCTTTAAAAACATTGTTTTTATTTTGTTTGGCGTAAGTTCAAAGCTGTGTGTCTCAGAATTAGTCATACGGCCTTCTATATAAACTCTAAGATTGTCGTCTGAGCCGAAAAAGACTGTGTCGTTGTCTTGTAATAATACAGGGTATTTCGTGAGTAACAATACTTTTATGGAATAAAAAATGCAATCACCACGTAACACAATTGTTTCTGGGTTATAAAAATCATTTTCTAATTGTTCCTATCATAAAAACATGAAAACACTTTATTATCTTGCAATTACTTTGCTTTCTGTAATCAAGGCGATGAAAAGTTGAAATTTGCGTACCATTAAGGAAATATTCAATTTTTTTTAGGTTTATCTTTATTTAATATGTTATTATTATCCGCATTTAAAATGTGCATTCTTGCGAAATGACTTGAACAGTGTTGTGTAGCACTTTAAAAAAAATGTCAAAGTTGAATGATATAATTTGTTAAACCATAACTCAATACATATATACTAAACTTATACTTTAAAATTGGATAATTTATGATCACAGTACCTAAAGATGTGGTCTAAGGTCGTCAATTTTCAAAATTTTAAAAAATATATCCATTATTGCTTAACTGAGTGGATCGGTTTTTTTTCCTAATTTTTGTTTAAAACAAATATAACCTGGCCTCTTATCTATAGTTATTAATAACAAAGATTGAACAGTTTTAGAAAAATTCCTTCGAATTCGGCAGGATTCGAAACGATATCTTCTAGCAAACCGTGGCAGACGCTATGGCATCTAAGACACGGAACGAACCTGCAGACCTTATGAATTGTTGTATGTGCTTGTTAGAGATCTTTGTTTTAAACGATTTTTTATGCCATAGCGCCATCTGTGAGAAATTTATTTCTTCACTCAGTGGTACCTTTACAGCTACTATCGCTGACTAGAGATAGCATAGCGTCTGACACGGTTTACTAGAAGACGTCGGTTCAAATCCGGTCGTATCGAAGAAAGTTTTTCTAAAAGTCTTCGATCTTTGTTATTAATAATTATAACAATGTAGTGGAGCAATTTTGACAATAAATAATTGAATATCAATGTAATAAAAAAACATGAAAAATTGGCATCTAAAGTTTATTGTAAAAAAATTACATGCAGATTTTGCCTAACAATAAAGCCGAAACTAAGTAAGGTATTAAAAATCGATTAGAGGGGGTTGTAGATTCCGTGTCACTGATCCCAGATGTATGAATAACTCAGTTTCGCTAAAAATGTCGATTACGATGGTAAGGAGGGCAGAATTGTAATTTGTAAAAACTTAAACAACAACTTAAAAAACTCAATATAAAACAGCGAACTCTAAAAAGTCAATAACTCACCATATGTCTACCTACTGCTCGTTGAGACCAATCCAAAGCGGTACAAACTCGGTGAGTCTATCTGTCTAGCACGATAGGGCGGACTTGCGCGAGAGCGACTTATAGCGCGGGATCTCTATGTGAGAATAGCAGTATCTCGCGCTTTATCTGTTACTTGGATAATTTTTCGAAAAATTTCAAATAGTGGAAGTTTTTCTTTGAGCTTGCCCTACAGACCTTAGTCACTATCTATAAGACTCGTCGAGAGCAATTATACGAGCAAACACACGATAGTTCAAACTTACTCACCCCAGATCCTTTCAGATTTTGTAATTCGAATTAAATTTTTGAATAATCAGTTTTAATAACGTATACACATGTTGAAGCAGTCATTGTAATACCTTATGGCAATGAGGGTGCTGTAAAGGAGTCATAATTTTTAAAGTTCTAATTTGCCTTTTTAATGGACTTCATGTGTTTTAAAATATTGAATATGTTGGAAATCAAACTGTGGTCTGCAGCTATTATGTATATATATATATATATATTTATATACTATATATTACATGAAACAAATTTATATGTGGCATTTTATAACTCTACCATCCTTTAATTTTTTTATAACACCGAGTGATGGATGATAATAGACACGCCTATCCATAACAGTTGCAGTGTGTTGTAGCTTTATATCGCAAAGATTTTTTTTATTATTTCTATTATTAAGATCACTGCCATTGCATCCGTCACCCGGAGATATAAGTTTACAAGTCCCATGTGTATCATTATATGTGTGTCACACACATTACTGCTTGGCGGCATGAATAGGTAAGGTGGCAGTATTTCACAGATCACAAGGAGCTACTGCTACTAATTTAAGCACAAAAACATTATTATTATTGATACAAAGATCAAATAAAAAAATCCTTAGATCTGACTGGACTCAAACCAGTGTTTGTTGCTTAACTGTTGCTACAGACTACATACATTTGCCTTGCCGTAAGCCCGTTCGGACAGAAGAGGAGAGCATACGTAATTGTACTGCGTGTTGGTAATTTTACAAACTTGGCAATGTAAGTTGATTCTAGTCCATTCAGATCGAGTAATTTTCTTTGTTTGTTCGATTATATGATCAATAATATTGTAGGCGGGTATTTTCACAAAAAAAAACAATACAGTGTTAAAACAAGAGCAAAACATTTATTTTATTTTTTATTTATTTATTTCATAGAAACAAGACATACAAGAGACCATAATACAATTTCTCACCAAACTGCGAAAGCAGTTTGTTGGCGAGATTACAGTCACAATCCAAACCTATAGTATACCTAATACGAGTACATTTAACAAAACCAGTGTAGAACTTACTAAATTTACATGCTTTGAAGAAGTATAAATTTAAATTTTTTCTTTAATGTGAATTTACTTAACAATTCTCTGCCTCCTCCTAATTCTACCTAAACCTAATTTATGAAATATAATTGGCAAGATATGTCTATTTGTTTTTTTACCATAATAATTATTTACTTTTGGACATACATATTTATTTTCACGGGCTTGCCTAGTGTTATACTTGTTCGTTACATTAATTTTAAATTGAGTTGTATAACAGTTTTCAATTGCGACCAAATATTAAACTTTTGCTTTAAATTCATCATGACATTCATTAAAGACAAATATCAAAAAAGGTTTCGACTAATTTCGTTCGTTAAAACATTTAAAATTATCTTCTGAAAAGACCTTATTCCTTATTATTTCTTGGTTACGCGTGGTATTTAACCAAGAGAGTACTTAAAAGGATGAAGTTATAAACTCCTATGTGTCCTATGTATCTAAGTAATTCTATTTAGTAAATTTAATGACGTAAGCGTCTTAAGGCGCAATGTTTCCAAACAATGTTTATTTTTAATCGGTGCTAATTAACCTGATGCCACTGGGGGGCTGCCAAACACGACAATTACTTCCCGAGACCTTGATTTTAGGTGTTGACATATTATTAACCGGGAAAACATAGTTGTTCGATACAGATTCAGTGTCTTTAGAATAAGTTGAATTAATTAATGTAGCGATATGACTGACTCCTTTTTAAGGACTGGTCAGATGCTACCCAAGACCGAACACCAGTTGGACAGAACAGGTTTACAATATGGTATAATTTTTCCAGTTCAGGAACTTGAATTTTATTTCTGTCAATGTTTTTTTCTTCTTGTTTTTCTTGACTTTTCGCAGTTAGCATTTCAGCCACTTACAAGGTGTTTTGATGTGCTTTTAAAACGGGGAAACTTATTATGATAATAATTGAAATTTGGAAACGGGATTAGGAAGATGGTGAAAGAGTGAAAATCAGGCGAGGCACTATGAAATATAAATAAACAATTATTGTAAATATACGGGAAACATTCTATTATTATTACAACAGAAAGTATATACAGTTGGTAAACACCAACAGTTGTCATGGGAGCATGTTTTAGGTTTCAACGACTGTTTTAAAATATTTGTATCCTGTTTTAAAATTCAATTTTGGTTATAATTAGTTATAGGAAATAAAACTATTTTTCCGGATTTAAATCGCGTATATTTGTTTTTTCAAACAAACCGACGTTTCGGGCCCTTTACAGGTCCCATGGTCACGGTTGACTGAGGTGGTACAGTCTTCAACCAGTTATGTCTAATATTGATGCAAACCCCCCTATTTTTTCACTATAGTTACAATAGTTATTAATTAAATACCTTACCGTGACCATGGGACCTGTAAAGGGTCCGAAACGTCGATTTGTTTGTAAAAACAAATATACGCGATTTAAATCCGGAAAAATAGTTTCATTTCCTATGTGTAACAATCGTAAAAACCTAAGAATTCATTATAATTAGTTTTTGAACTCAATTTAAAACAGGACGTAAATTTTTAGAATAGTCGTTAAAACCTAAAACATGTACCCCTGGAAATATCTACGAAATGTCGCTTACGCCCTAAAATACTGACGATAAGATTATTGATTGTACTGTATCCTTATTGTATAATGTATCCGTAAAAGTGTTCCCCATATGGTGGTCTCGTTTGTGTGATTTTTGGAAACAGAAACTTATTGTCAGAAAAGTCTATGGTCAAAAAGGTTGCTATTCTTTATAGTGATGAATATTGATCGCGTTGCTATGGTAACGTGTTTTGTAAACAAGCGTATCTACTTTATGTCCGAGGTGTTGGTGTTTATTATACTACTACTGGTGTTTACTATCTTGAATATAATTAATCTGTGTATTTGAAATAAATATTATTTGTAAAACGTATTGGAGTGGCAAGGTAAATGAGTGGCGCTATTATTGTAATTAATGCTCATAAATATCACAAATTGAGGTTGTTCTATAATCACTTTAGTTTGCATTTTACAATAGGTACGTGTAACATGATATCCTTTCTTTGTAGATTGACAGCCATGGATCTTATTGTAATGGATAAATTACGTCTACTAAAAATCGACTCAGAGCTTCGGCCACAAATCAAGATGAAACCAATGAGCCGTTACTATTTCGCCACTTCTACGAATCCTGGGGAACAGTTTTTTGTCTTCGCATCGACGGCTGCATGGCTTATCAAAAAAACTGGCAAAGATTTCGAGCAACCTAACGAAGAAGATGATCCTAACTCGATTATTGCAAACATCATGAACGTTTTGCGTGAAACAGGCATTGCTGTTGACTTTTCTTCCCATAAACTTAAACAAGGTTACGGTGAACAAGTATGTTATATACTGAACGTTTTATCGGATGAGGCTTTGAAAAAAGAGAATTTTGAATGGCAGAAACCCGTAGTAGATCTTGTTGAACCAGAAGAAACAGCTGATGAAATAGACCAAGTAGAAGATGAAACAGAAATAATATTGGACAAGGTCGAAGAAGAAATGGCGATATATTCTGAAGAATCTGAAGGAGAGTTTGAAGTAGAAGAAAAGGAATCTATTAATGGTTTAAATAAGGTTCATGATTGGGAAGCGTGGAAGTTGGAACTGGAGAGAGTAGCACCAGCACTGAGACTGAAGATTTCGGCTGACGGTAGAGATTGGCGAGCGAGACACTCCCAAATGCGGAGTTACAAAGACGAACTCTTCGAAAGATTCAAAACTACGGGATCTCAGTTGAACAAGCTTCATAGTAACATAAGTTCTGTAATGGATAAGATAGCTGCAAGGGAGAACATTTTGAATGAACAGTTCGAACCTCTAGTTCGCGAATACGGGTCACTTTTAGATGAGCTCAACAAGGTAACAAATGAATATAAGGAGGCCAGTGTAGGTGTTACCGAGAGACAGGAATTGTTGAATGAATTGACAGCAAAAGTGGAGAATATTAAACAGAGGACTGAGTCTAGAGGTTCGTCGATGAATGATAATTCTCCATTGGTGACAGCGAAGAAAGCTGTAGCTAATTTGAAGAAGGACTTACAAGAGATGGACTTTCAGATCGTTGTGCTTGTCTGGCTTTTAACTACTAAGGAGAATCCTAACAGTAATAATTACTTGTCTAATATAGAATCCAGGATCCCTACTATAGAAACTTATTAATCATCTCAAAACTGTATATCTGAACTAAGATATTTTATTTATTGTATTGTGGGGCTCTAGCCAATGCAAAACGGAGAATAGAGGAAATCTGTTAAAACACTAACATGTTCTCGATATTTTGCCATATTCTCTCCACTGAGTCCATATAATGAATATGTCACATGGGCTTTGTAATATACGTATTTTCGTTCCAAATTGTAGCCGAAAGCAAGAACTTTATTTTCCTCCATAATTTTGATCGTACACTTGCATGGCGCGAAGAGAACTAGGCAACTCAGGAAACGAAAGGAAAGGAAACTCAGGGAGAGGTTCTGTTTAATATTTTTATTGGTCATCTGTCTCTCCCCTGTAGATCCTAAAAAATAAAAGGCAGGAAATTTCATTTCTTACTACAAAATGGTCCCCCGTTTTGGTGGATGGTGAGCTCTATAGATAAGTATCTTTGTACAAAACACAAACATTAAAAATGTGCAATAATAATTACATTTGCTTTTATTTTTTAATATATTTTTTATTTTACAATTTACATGGTTACGTGGCAAAATAATGAAACTGAGAAAATAATGTTTTAAGAAATAAATTAAAAAAAAAAAACTACTATATATTCATTTCATACATTATATTTTGAAGGCATTTTTCCTCGCAAGATTTTATTTTTAAAAGACGCTGGTTTTAAATTTCTAGAAAGAAACAGATTTGTACGATTCTGCCGCTTTAGTGGTCGGTAAAAATGGTCGATCTATCACTATTTTTATTATTTCGTAGGTGGACGAGGTATGAAGTTACCGCAAGACAAAAGTAGATATATTTTTTTAAATTAATATCTTTAAACATTATTCTCTCGGTTTCGAATTTTTGTCACAAACGCATTTTCAACTAACGGCGGCAGATTTAACCACCGTTCAAAAAGTACGCTATACGTCGTGATCCCTAAATTCCCTGATCAATGGAATTAGCCAAATATCCTCATTGGTATGTGGTGTTAGTAAATAGCACATGCAATGTATCTAGACCCATTTGTTAAGAAATAACTACCTACTTGGGTTATCTATGTAACAAAACGTGCTACTATGATTTTCAATTGTTGTGTTGTTAATCCACTTCGCGAGTTCGTCTTCATGATAGTGATGATGGATAATAAAGACCGATGATTCCCAAACTGGTCAATATCAACCCCCTAGGGGGTTCGCTCCAAAATTTAAGTGACAATGGGTCGGATTGTTGAATTATCAGCGAAAAATTCATAAGTGAAATAATCCACATTACATTGATACCTACATACATTTGATATTCGGTTAGGTAATCGTATAAAACTTAACATGTGTCTTTTTAATAAATTTCTGTCAGCTATCAGAAACACATTTGAAGTTGATGAATTTTGAAAAAAATCCACATTAGGAAGGGTCTACGCAAAACAGAAAAAAATGGTACGTGCTCTACGAGACAAAAAAATTGGGAACCTCTGATTTAAAGATACTTTGAATTGCGGTTCAAAATAGACTTGTGACTGACAAATTTTTTGCGCAAGAAGAAGCAAAGCCGAAGCATGTGCGATCTTAACAACACAAAAATGAATTCAGTATCAAATCTATAATTTAGAAAAAATCAAAGCATGGCACAAAAAACAACATATACTTACTTAAAAACAATTTTTATGTTTATAAAAACACATTTAAATTAAGTACAAAAAGAAATTAAATTGTCTTCATTTTATTTGTCTAAAAGAACCAATTTATTTTAGATTTATTTACATGAAGTGGTGGGATTGTTCGTACAATACAATGTAATGAATGACATACATTTGAATGAAATAAAATTTGAACCTATAATTAATTTTTTAAATTAATTTTGAACGAAATTTAAAATTTAAAATTTAAACTACTAATAAAGACTACAGTTTCTTCATCAAGGTAGTTTGGTGTGCTCCTGCGGAAAAAGATTATTTAGTTGTTAGATTTAATAATATGCATATTTAGCCGAACAGAAAAAGTTAGATAATATACAATAGTAACGTTTATATTGAAATTCAACTTAAGTCTTTACAATACACACGCACGCACTCACGCGCGCGCGCGCACACACACACACACACACACACACACACACACACACACCCACACAC